ATTTTTTTGAGATATTGGCTGCTTTGGTTGTCTTTTGAGCTTCTTTCCCCTATTTAAATGACATGTTGGCTGCTGTTGGGAGGTTGGTGAAGTGGATATTTATCTCTAAAAACTTGAGTGTTTTCTTCCAAAGCTTGAGAGCTCTTCTTCCCTACTTCTAAGTCTTCTACCTAGTTCTTCTCTCCACAAGTTACCCTTCCACTGTATCATTCTTAAGTTTTTATAAGTTGTATTGTGCCTTTGTGTTAATATTATTGTTATCTTGCTTATGTTTGTCAATGTTTTAAGAAAGGAAGGTTGTGTTTTTACGCTATTATTTTGTTGTATCAAATAGTAAAAAGTGGTTCAAATTCATAACAAGGCAATGATAGAAGTATAACAAGGGCAATTATTAAAAATTGACAGAGAAAAAAATGTTTAATAGCATTAAATAAAAATATCATGTTGTGTAAGTTCAATTGCCCGCCTATCTTGAAGCTTGATGCAAATAGGTAAGTGATAATTTTTTTTCTCATTACTGCCCCATCTGATGAATAAGATATGAAATCTCCTATCCACCTACATGTTTGCATTCATAATGCTCCCATTCGATTCAAGAGGATGTAATGAATCATCATCTTTTGTATCTTTACCAATAGTAGAGAGAGGAACTTCCAAAGTATGAGGATAAATATCTATATTATGCATTTATGAGGTTGATGAAATTGATGGATTGAAAGAGCTGAACAAACTAACTGCAACTTTTAAGAGATCAATTTATTCTAAATTTTGAGCGCACACCTCAACTAATGAAGAAGTAGCAATCATTGAGGTGGAATGAATGTTTGGCTATTTGAATGTGCTTCTTGGGCTTGATCAATTGAATTTCTTAAATCCAGACGGGCTTTGAAGTAACTAGAGTATATGTGTTAAAAAATATTTTAGAAAAAGCAATAGTTAGAAATGCCTTCAAATTCAACATTTTGCCAGTAACCACAAGACGATATATCAATCAACACCTTCTTATGAAGAGGAGAGGTACCCGGTATTTCTATCGGGACCAAGGTTATTGATAACCTAAAAAGATGGGGGCAATAGCAACATCAAATTGCAAAGGTTTACTAAAAATAGATCCCAAATAATATAAAGTTGATTAATTGAAGAAATGTAAATGTAACTTAGTAGAAGCTACCCATACACGTTTGGATGATAGGTGATTTATTTGGAACTATCATAATGGGGTGACTATTTCAGCATTCTCATTCTCATAAAAATGCTTCTAATTTAATATGCACAATGAGGAAAGAGCTTGTCGTAATTTTTTCAAATTATTTTAATTTTTTTTATATCAATTTTTTAATTATTTTATTATTTTTATTTTTTATATCTTTTATCACTAGGTGTAATTTGACTCCATATAAAATTTAATAAAAATATGCAATGATCAAAGAGGTCATATGAGAATTCACCTATTGACTACAAGTCTAGCATGAATTTGCAAGTGATGTGCTTGTTGGTACTAACCAAAAAGAAATTTTTAACAATTGTGAAGCGAGTTTACCCCGATGATGGCCGTGTTATCTCTATTGCACACGACAACTATTATGAACTGTTCATAGTAGCACTTGTCTTAGGTTTCGTGAAAATGACATGCAGGATGAATTAATGAGTGCTATTGGCTAGTTGCTTGTTTGGCTCTAAAAATGGAAATCTATTTTGATTATCTTATTTAAAAGCCTTGGCTCAAGTGGTGTTCTTCTTGGTTTTTATTTTAGAGTACTCGGGCACCAATTCTAGAGACGTAACTATGATGAATTTCTCAAAATCCACATATTGATAAAGGCCCATCTAATAAAAAATATGGGATAGATTTTGTTAAATTCAAAGAATCAAGGAGGAAAAAGACTTAATTTTATTATACAAAATTATCCTTATTTATAGATCTATTTAAGATGTCTTAATAAAGAAACAAATAACTATAGAATTATGCATTATTGATTTAATATAATCCTTCCTAAACAGACTCCCAAATATAGAAGGAGATCGGCATGATCTAGGTGAGCCTCTCGCGGATCCCCATGTTGGTCGTGTGATCAAGGGCTAAGGGATGGCTGAGATTTATTCGGGTGATCCAAGTGAGCCTCCCACTGATCTCCATGTTGGTCGTGGAAACAAACTAAGGGAAGGCTAGGATTTAACACTCCCCTCAAGTTGGGGAATACAGATCTATCATTCTCAGTAAGGTAATAAGTCCAAAAAAGGTAGAGTTATCAAGTCCCTTGGTAAGAATATCTGCAACATCGGTTTCATCATTTTCCTGCGCCCCATGCATCTTGGTTTCACCTTCAATAAACTCCCACTGCTCTTTCTTTAGGAGTAGCACCTCTGCATCAGCATCATATATAATTTTATGCATTCTTGTACTTTAATTAAAAGAATCGACAATATCATCATAAAACCTATGATCATTTGGCCACCAATTTTTTTATCTTTGAACCAACAATTGTGTCATCCAAGCCTTTCTTGCACTTCCGTGGTCTAGAAGCCTCTTGTACGCCCTGAGCACGCTTCCATCTTGATTTTGTTTCAACATCCCGAGCTTTTGAGAAGGTTTGTCTGGCAGCATCCCATATGCCGTTTAGCAGTAGTCAGGAAAATAAAAGTATCACTAATTTTTTGAGACACGAAATTCCACAACCATGACATAATAATGGAGTACGTTTTATCCCATGTTAAAAAAATTAGGATCTCCTTTTTTGCTCCTACTCCAAGGAGGCGATTCAACTTTCCTTTCCCTTTCAAGTAAGTCTTCACAAATTACTACTACTTCAGATAGTTCTTCTCATTTAAGCGATAGAAAAGTTGCATATTTTGGAGATCCCCTCTTCCTTGATGCACCATAGATCCTCAATTTGGTCAACACGCTCTGGGAGGAATTCATTTCAGCATTGTGGTGCCAAGTGATAGGAGTGAAGGCTATTTGCAAGATCCTGGATAGCAATGAAGGCTTCATGGAATTTTACCCTTTGAATTCTGACAACGACAATGAAAGCTGATTCTTGTTGAGTAGATCAGGAACTATAACAACTCTTGTTTGGAGGCGGCGCTTCTATTTCGCTCAGTTCATATGCACGAATGGGTTTTCACGGCTGATCTTCTTGCCGCATGCGTTCTTTCTCATGTACGTGAGAGAGGTTCCTTTCGTCGCACGCATGATCCTATCCAGATGCACGATCCTTCTCTGCATGCTGCTGCACGTGAGATTCCATCTCCGCTTTCTCTGGCCGCATGCACAATCTCGCCTAGATGCAATGGATGTCGCCATTATAGATGTACGCGAGACTCTTGTCTCAACTTTCTTTGGTCGCACGCATGATACAGAGGGCACTAGAGGCTCGACTCTCGTTCGATCTCTGTCCAAGAAGCAAGGGAAATGAAGGCCGCTCCTCTCTGCTTCCTCCGATTGGTATATCTCAGGGATCGAAGGCGCAAGGTCCCGTCTCCTCTATATGCAAGATCTGCCAATGGTAATGACAATGAAGGCCGGTGGTGGGACAAACTGATTATATCTCCTTAGGCTCTGATATCATGTTAAATTCAAAGAATTGGAGAAGTAAAAGACTTAATTTTAATGTACAAAATTATCCCTATTTATAGATCTATAAAATATGTCTTAATACAGAAACAAATAACTACATAATCATGCATAATTGCCTTAATATAATCCTTCCTAAATCAGCCACCCAAATATAGAAGGAGATTGGTGTGATCTAGGTAAGCCGTGGGATCACGGGCAAAGGGACGACTGAGATTTAACAACGCCCACAGATCCCCATTTTGGCCGTAAGATCAAGGGCCAAGGGATGGCTGGAATTTAACACTTGTTTTTCTGATTCATTTTTTCAGACCCTGTCACTTAATGAGTACCTACGATGCACATACATGGACACGACGACACATAAACGGGGCACATCAATTATTGATAATATAGGATACGGACATGGGTTGGACATGATATTATAGTTTTATATTTTAAAAATAGTGTATAAAAATTAAATAATTATAATTTTAAAATAATTTAGAAATAATAAATCATTTAACTAGAATTTGAGCTTAAAATGATTAATATTAGGATGTCGAGAGTCGGGCGTTGATGTCATTTATTAGTCATCGAGAGAGGAGATGATAATGCTGTCGAGAGTCAGGAATTGATGTTATGAAGTAAATATTGGGCGTCAATGTTAAGAGGGCATTTATTGTCGATGTTGAGAAGGCGTTGGTTGTCGATGTTCAGAAGGCGTTGGACAAAGTTGAGATATCTAAGTTGTGGGTGTAGAAATTGCTAGCATTGAGTATCAAATTTGTATTTAAGATACGTGTTTAAAACAAAAAATATAAAATATTTAAGATACGCGTGTCCAATTTGTATTTAATATTTTTTTAATTGAACACGTTTTCGGCGTGTCCGACACGTGTTGGAGGAATGTCGGATGCGTGTCGTGTCGGATACTTGTCGGACACTGCACACCTCTTTGAAGAGAAGTGTTGGTGCATCATAGATGAGTACATGCTTTAGAATATTCTTTAGTGGATTATTGGAAGCATAATTCGCATCCTCATACTTTGTATTTGCAGAATAACCATCAAGATGTTACTCTTCATTGATGGAGACCTTGCTTTGTTGGATATTCAATATAACACTGGTTTTTATTTTTTAGCTACTCCTGGTATTGAGTGCATAACGTGATATGCTGTGGTTTCCTATGATATTAACTATTATAAATCATTAAGAGCTATCATTGTCTTATAGCCTTCTTGTCTTGTGAAAATGCTAGTGATTGAACTGCCTTACATGTTAAATCCTCAGTAAGTTTGTATTGCACTTGTTTTTGAAGCTATGTATCTTCTCCAAATATGTAAAATCACAGTTCTATGTTCAAAAGCCAGTCTTTTCCAAGTATAACACTCCATGATCATGTTTACCTAGTGTTCTAAAATAATTTATCAGTTTTTTTTTTTAGATACAACTTGATGCTACGCCAAAAATAGAAGGAGTGCTGAAAGTACTTGGAGTTAGATGGAAGTTATCTGAACTTGTTGTTGGATATCATTACTTTGAGCCTAATATGAAAATGAAACATAAGAAAGGAAAACGAGTAGCCAGGAATTCTTCTGGGGGAATTCTTAATTTTATTGTCATCAAGGTTGTTGCCTTTTTCCTGGCTTTTAGCTTTCTTCCTCCCTTTTTTAAGAAATGAAAAGTCAATCAATCTTTTTTCTCTTCAGGGTCTGCCAAAACTTGAAGGATGCATCCACAACTTGCCTGGAACTACATTTGCAGGTGATTTTAGGCTTCTTAGGATGGAGCTCAGAAATCAATCAGAATACTCTGTTAAGGTATGATTGACATCTCTGAGTAGGTCTAGTGGCCTCCTAATATTTCTCTGCTTGCATAGAAGCCTCTATAATCTTAGTACTCCCATGTACTAGTCAATTAAAAATTCTAAATACTTGTAATATACTACATTATAAGTGCTGAAACTGGTGAAATTGTTTCTCATTGGTTTGTTTTCCTGCTTCTTTTTATCGGACCCTTTGCATCTGTTTTTATTATTTTATTTTTGAAGATTAAGTTTGGCTTAATAGGACATACATGGACTTGCAGAACATGAGAATGGCAATCAGTCATCCGAGATTCTTGAGTCCAGGGAATTTGGAAGACTTTAACATGGATTTTCCATGCTATCTTGAAAAGCAGAAATTTTCAAAAAGTATGGAAGCTCCGGCTAATGCTCAGAAGTTTAAGAACCTTTTGTTTTATTTCCCCAATGTGAGTAGGAAAGGGGATTTTTTTTTTCTGTTGTATTATATTTAATTGGGCATATTTATTGTTGGTTTAAAAATTGATCATCTTTCCCTCTGCAGGATGTGACTATAGAAGGAGGAGCTGCATTTTATTGGCCTCTCTGGTTTCACGCTAGTTTTTCTGGAAAGATTTCCTTATATCTATCTGTATATTACGAAATTGAAAGTTGTTCTAGTGACATGATCTATAGGACATTGCGTATGCATTATGATTTGGAGGTAATAGCTTATGAACTCTTCGTAATATTTTCTTTTTTCAATTTTTCTGGAACGAGCATAAAAGAATGTTCAAATTATGGTAGTGAAATCATAATGATTACGAAAAACTTTTTATCATGCATTTGCCTCATTGAAAGATGTTGATTACCTTTACATTTTATTAACCTATTTTAATTACGTAATGATCTCTTTATCTTTCTTAGATGATTTAATTACAAAAAAAGGAATCTTGCAGGCGATTTCTAAAGCTAATTGAACCACTTTTAATTCTTTAATTTTCGTCTAAATTTGTATTTTTGTATTAGGGACATTGAGATCATAACTATTGATAATTTGGATGGTTGTAAGTTTTGTAAGGATCCATCCTTTTAGTGATATTTATACCCTAGCTTGATGGTCATTTCTCATCTTTATAATTAATGGTATGTTGTGAATTCGGTACTTTTATGGTTCTCTAGGTGTATTTGGAGGTCCTAGTGCTTCCTTATTGAAAAATGACGTTATTAGTCATTAATAACCATGTCCGTATTTTTTTCTTCTTTCAGGTTTTGCCATCATTAGATTTATCAATCCATATAGCTCCATGTCCATCAAAGTTACAGGAGTTCCTTATGCGGATGGATATCATGAACAGGACAAGTACAGAGAGTTTCTCTATGCAACAGTTGTCATGTGTTGGCGATGAGTTGGGTATTTCAAGGCTGCCTGCAAATGAAACTATTAGCCCTTTAAAGGTTTTACATGCTGGTCAAGCTTTATCTTGCTTCTTTAAGCTGAAGGTATGTGAACCCTAATATAAAGACATAAGTTTGAACTGAGAATGACAAATGGCAAGTGAAACAAGGTCTCTGGTTTTAGGAGGACAATTTTTTTAAAAAATGTGATACATTAGTGTTTTCCATGTCAATTAACTAGTGTCCTTGAGTTCAACATTAATGTCATTTGGTGAATTTGTGCTTCTCATCTGCAAGGCATTAACAGAAATGCATCTGGAAAAGAATTTAGATATATATTTTGTTGTGTGTGAATTGAAGAGGTAAGTTTTAAGCAATCAGACAATGCTATGCAATTTAAAGCTTTCTAAATGCTATTCATCAGGCAATCCTCTCCTATGGTTATTCTTCCTCCTCTTGTACTTGGTCGTCGATGTTTTAGGTTTTTCTCGTCATCCTTCTTGTTATGTACCTATTGAAAGCTCTGACCTCTCACGTAACACACTCTATTCATCAGGCAATCCTCTCCTATGGTTATTCTTCCTTCTTTTGTACTTGGTCGTTGATGTTTTAGGTTTTTCTCGTCATCCTTCTTGTTATGTACCTATTGAAAGCTCTGACCTCCCACGTAACACACTCTCTCCACTGCACAGTAACACATTTCCAAGCTGCGCTATTTATCATCTTGTAATTGCATTATTTTCTTCTTTATTTGGTTCTCTCAATCATTGCAAGCTGTGATTAGCTTACGTTTATTCACCCTCCTACTTTAATTTTGTTTTAGACTACATTGTAAGTTCGTCATTGTTCATGCTTGCAGTTTCTTCATTGTTCCATTGGAATGCACTCGATTAAATACATCAACGGGTCCCTATACTTTGCCTTTCTTTTTAATTGCACACTGTTACAGTAATAATGGTAGATTTATGACATGAGCCATCTTTAAGCCCAAACATTGGGAACCCTGTAGGAAATAAGCTTCAACTATTCATTTTTATCGGCTGTTTTTATTCTACAAAAGCATGTGTATTGGCAGTGCAGAACATATTCCTTAGTATTTTAGATTTGTTTGAAAGCATGTTTCTGGTTTGAACTTTTTTTATCATAGTTTTTATTGATCTCCTTGTTCAGGATTGTAGTAAAAGCTTTGAATATGAAACTGGGCTTGCCTTTCATGGAAAAGATGAAAAGTTGGATGCTCAGGGCAACGGAAAAGTTCTGATTGATGTATCCAGATCACCTTTTCTGGAGTTTCACCAACAAGAAAGATATCACCAAGGAAAAACTGCCGAGGTTTATATGCTCAGCATTCTTCTGTTCTTTTTCGCCTTTTCAGAAGCTAATCAACGGGAAAAAGTGCTGGTTTTCTATTGTTTGCTGTAATTTCTGCTGGTTTTTGGTTCTTCTGTTCACACTAGCCTGTCCAAATTTGTGATGTTGGTCACTAAGATTCAAGGCATTGGAAATTAAGCCAGGGTTTTGATAGGAAATACTTGATTTCAAGTATTTCCAAATCACTTCTACAGCAAATCTCGATGCAAACTGCTGTTCACAGCAGGAAAAACAGCAAAACAGTGGGAAAAACAGGGAAAAGCTGAGAGAAAATTGGAAGAACAGCTTGTATTTTACTGGTAGAAGAATAAAATAGCAAGATACAATTGATCCTCAATTCGAGAGGAGGATCATTCTCTCCCAAATCTCTGGCAACGCCAAGAGCCCAAAGAAAACCTAAATCTAAGAGATCTCAAATTTCAGCCAAATTCAAGATACTCAAACCCTAGAAAAAACAACTATTTAATGCATACAAATCAAAAGGAATTCCCTAAACAGTCCCTACATTCAAATTTCTCACTGAAACTCCCCAAAAATCCTTCCTAAAACGCTCTAAATGAGCGGTCGGGCCGCTCGTTCTGGCGGAAGCTCCGCCTGTTCTGCGATTCCGCCCGTGAACCGGTCCCGCCTGGACCGGTTGGACTGGTCCAATGGACCGGTCTAACAAGTTTTTCAGCCATTCTTGAAAAAGAAAAGTAAAATGATAGTTTTTTTTTTTAGCTTTGAATTGATCGAGTTCTCATTGCAAGGTTTATCTTTTGGTGAAAGATGTTGCGTTCAGTGTTATATCTGTAAATTTGGATTACTTTTGTAAATCGTTCTTAATCCTTGGTCCTACCAACATGGCATCTCCTGTAAATTAATTTTTTTTCTAGGTTTTTTTTTCAATAATTTTTTATTTTAACTTAAAGTTGCCTATTCATAGGCTTATGTGTCAAACTGAAGCTTTGTTCGGGACAGCTTTCTTTCTACTTCTTAAAGCAGCTTTTTAGTATAAAAATTTAAAATTTTTTGTACTAGAAGGCTGCTTTAAGAAGCAGAAAGAATGCCGTCCCAAACGAAGCCTGAGTTTGTTGTCTTATACTAGTTTCCATTGTGTTCACCTCATCTTTCATCCGTGGTGATTGTTCTATGAAGTACTCATAGCTTCACAGTTTCATTATATGTTTACAGTAAAGCAAAATTACCATTTTTATCTTCACATCCCATCATATATCTATATATCTTTACTTGCTTGCTATATTGAGCTCCATTTTTTATTTATATAGGGAGGTATTAGCAACATCGACTTCATCCTGATTTCGGAGCTCCATGATAGCAGTTCTACAGGATTACACCCAAGCATTTTATCCTTTCATGCATGTCACTGCAGGCAAGTTCTAAGAACTGAAACACTTCTCGGATCTAAGCTTCTAAGATCTTTAATGAGCTAAAACAAACAATTTTTTTCATGTTTTGCAGCATCACTAACGAGATACCTTTATGGTGGCTTATGGAGGGACCTCGAGTGATGAGCCATGATTTCTCTGTTTCCTTCTGTGAGATTGATCTTGAATTAACAATCTGCAACTGTCTGAACGCTGAAGTTTCCATTAGAATCATCACCCATGATTTCATGCCCGAAACAAAGCTTTCAGATTATCTAATTTCTGATTCTAACACCAATCAAGGAGGGTGGCATAATGTATCTTTAGCGAATGACATAAAAGAGATCTCAAATGTTCAATCTGAGAAGTTATCCTCATCATCTTCACAAAGCATTTCTCCCTTTATTTGGTGTGCAGCAAGCTCTACTTCAGTCAAGATGCAACCTTTATCTACTGCTAATGTTCCTCTCAGAATCTGTATTTTCTCACCTGGGACATTTGATCTATCGAGTTATGAATTGCACTGGAATGTACAGTCATCCAGTCGGTCTGACAAAGGGCGGCCCGGCGACGATGCGACGAGAAGTTCATCTGGTATGAGCCGAGGACATCCATTCTACCTTACTGTAATGCAATCTCACTAAGATCTGTAGATATGTTTGTCAGTGACCAGTTTGTTATTTCTTTATAAATGAGTGATAGTAGTCAAGTGCTTTTGTAAAGTATGGGTTGGTGAGCTTCAGAAATTTTGTGAATCGCTCATCCTTTCTATGGTTTTTATAATAAAAAAAATATGAGCATGCAGAAAGAATGTAGGTGGAGAAAGAATGAAGAATGAAATTAGAAATGTTAATGTAAAAAATATTGAGAGATTGCCTACAAACAAAGTGAAATCATGATAATGGATGGGACTCGCAAACAAATATGCAATATGTAGTATGGCAAACAAAATGCTGTCATGTTGAAGAGATTATTATGCGCGGACACTGGATGGTCTGGAGACCAATTAAAATACGTCACGTCATCCAGTATATAACATTACCTAACTTAGGCACCGAGCAAAAAATGATATGGCGTATTCTGGTTGGCCTTCGAACGGTGTCTGATGTCCGCACAAAATAATTTTTCATGTTGAAGGTGATGATGGGCCAAATGATAATCAAATTAGATGGATTTAGAGTTCATTCGAGATATTATTTTACGTAATTTTTTAGAACCAAAATTTTTAATTTAAAAAATTTGTAGTTAAAAAATAAGGAAGTTGTTCCAAATAAAATTTTAATTTTTTTTAATGAAAAATCAAGTTCTGCAAAAGTTGGGTGATAAACATAAAACATTTGTATTGCAAGCAATCATCATAGCTAAATTATCTTAGTGATGATAAAAGCCTTATAATCATATACCGATTTTGTATAAGATTGAGAACTAATATATAAGAAATAAGAGTATAAAATATGCAGAAACCAATGGTAGATTTGTGGTATATTGTATTCTTAGCCCAATAGATATTTATATAAGCACTCAACTTTAAAATGTTAATGAAAATAAAAAAAGCCTAAAAAGAAGAGAGATTATTTCACGTGGTATGTCGAACTCTAATAAAATATTGACATATGGAGTGGACACGTGAATATTCAATTGAATCTATTTTTTACTTTATATATTTAATGTGTCGGTGGAATTTTAAGCCAAGTGCATTAAAACCGCAGCCAAAGAGCAGGTAAATCATAGTCAAACTGCAATAAAAAATCGTGATAAAAGAGCAGTCAAGGCTCAAGTAAAGTGCAACTAAAGTATAGATAAAGTGCAAGTAAAGCGCAAAAAAAAATAAAAATTGTGCAACCAAAGTGTACTCCAAGTGTTAAATTTTAAGTGGATGTTCGAACGTATCTTTACGTTCGGACTCCACACGAAATAATATATCCTAAAAGAGAGCTCGAAGGTAATGGAAAATGTAAAGAATAGCAGCTTGATGAACATTAGTAGACTAGGATAAATTGGCTGATAATGTGCACAACATTGGCACTATCTAATTGTCTAATGGTGAGATAAATCAAGCTACCAACACAAGTATAATATAAAGTGGAGTTGGTTAAAAAGTATACTATATTGTTAAATATGAATAGTGGACATTTTTGTAATAGAAGCAAAAGTCTACTTATAAATTATATTATATTGTTGAGAGAATTTTGTTAACAACCAATCATGTTTTATATTTTTATATTGCTTAATAGACCCATTTGATTTGATTTTGATTTTATACACTAAATGATAACCAATTTTGCTTTCACCTAATGGTGGAGGTTTCAACTCCCAAGCATTTATTTATTTTTACAATGGAGAAAATTTCTTAGCCATAATTAATTGTCAAAAGATATTAAGAATTATCTCCTTATAAGATGAAGATAAATCAATATTGGAGGTTGTAATGTATAGTATTTCTATTTCAAGGAATGTATAATAATAAATACTATAAAAATAAGACTTAATCTAATATTTATTGTCTAATATCTATATGATAAAAATGTCAATGGCCAATAATTTTAGCATAAAATTGTGGTATGATGTTTTGATTTTTTTTTCATTTGTGTACATCTTTTACATAATTGTGCACTTGTAACATTCAAGAAATTGTTTATTTTTTTATGAAAGTATTCATGATTTTATATAATTTAAATTCAACATTTTAACAAAAAATTCTATTTTTCTCATCCTTAAATCAGTAAAATTTCAATTTATATTCTATAATTATCTAGAAAATGATGTAAATAGTTGAGTTGTTGCTTTAAACTACATATAGAGTTGTAGCAACATAAGGTAAATGGTATGTAGATGTCTAGACTTATTGTTCTTAAAGAGAGGTGTTAAAATATAACCGTAACATATAGAGTTGGGAGTGATGGAAAAAACAATCAATCAATTTGAAATAATCGAACTCTTTGAGAGGGCCAATCAATATCCCTTCAACCAACTCTTCCTTTTTTTTCTAGTTATGTAACTTTCGAGGGCCTTAATCCACTTGTTTCTCCTAAGGAAGGCTAAAGATGAAAAAGAATAATAGTTGTTCCATTGTGCTTAATTTTGGTGGTAATAACACACATTGGAATATTTGAATTTGCGTTGATCATGGGGCTGAGGTTTTATGAATTTCTCTCATAGGAGAAGGTTGAGGAGAATATCACAAGCAGTTGATTGAGAATTACTTGGATTGTAATAAGAAATTCAAGAAAATTAATCTTCAAAATACCTTCATGAAGTGAACATTAAGAGAAGATATTTGGAAGCTAAATTTATGCTTTGCTACTGATGGGTTACTCTTCAATCATGAAGGAATAATTTTGTGTTTATTAAGATGGTAGCAATGGTTGAGGAAGAGGGCTTTTTTTTTTTGGCATACCAAATTACCAATGAGGAAGAATAACATATGATAGATAAAAGTTAAGTGTCTAAAGAAGTAGATGCTTCACAATAAAGGAAATATTCTAAAGGTGGAGAAGAAGAGAAGAAAGAAAATCCCAGCTCAATTCATTGTTAGTGGATTTATTGTCTCATTATCATGGCAAATTATTTGGTGCGGAGTTCGGACGTGCATTAGGTTCGGACTCCACTTAAATTTGTACACGTGTATTACGGACACATGGATATTTACTGCACTTTTTGTGATGAAATTTTTTAGAAATTCAAAACGTATAATTTTTTGCTCTTTTTCTGCGCTTTCATTTTTGTTGTGTTTTGTTGCCCTTATGCTTTTGCTGCGCTTTTATTGTGCTTTTATTTTTGCTACCCTTCGACGAAAAATAAAATGACCTAAAAAAATTAAAGCGCAGTAAATATCTTTACACGTGTACAAATTTAATTGGAGTCTGAACATAATGCTACGTTCGGACTCCGCACCAAATAATTTGCCTATTATAGTACTAAGCTTATGAAGTCATTTCAAAGCTCTAGAAAACCTATGATGAATTCCTTAGTGAGAAAATTTCTAAGGACGCTAAACTACCAAAACAACAAAGTTCTCACAAGCATGAATTTTTTTCCACCACCCCTAGTTAATAAATATTTAATTCATGCGCTTTATTATATTTCAAATGGTTGTTTAGGTTAACTAGTCATTATATTATTTCCTTGTAGCTGATTGTTAACCACTTAACCCTATTCTAGTGCATAGAGCAGATTAAGAAGACTTTGGATATAAAAGCACTTGTAGAGTTGTAGTATTAAAAAAAAAAAAAGACTTTTGATATGCCTCCAAAAAATACATCCAATCAAATATGAATCTCGATGCGATATTTAAATTAAAGCCTTCCAAACATTATTTTAGCCATGATTTTGGCAAACTTAGAGTCACATTGAACATCATCATCATGAGATGAACTCAACAAAATCAAAAGTGATTCAGTTCGACTCCAAATTAGCTCAAATCGAACACTTGTAGTATAATCATAAACTTCATGATATTCATTGAAGGACCAAATGATCTCTAAATCACACTTATAATTAAAATGAGCATCTTAATGAGAGAAATTCAATGAGCTTAAGACCACTCAATTATGAGTTCTTAAGGCACTTAAAAGCTGAAAGAATAGCTTATGATCAAGAGAAACCATATGAGCCATTTGATGGAGTATTTTAGAATTTGTAATTAAATTACAAAAGTTTCACTGTTCAAAAAAATATCAATAGGCCCAAATTTATTATATGAAGGGAAATTCGAAGCTAAACCTATACTTGAAGTTATAGAGAGCTTTGCCTAGCATTCGACATGAATGGCCATCATCATCAATCATTATCACCAGAAAACCATCATATAATCACCTCGCCTCACTAAGCCTTTTGTAATAACCTAGAAATATGAAAAGGGTTAAAAAAAATTACGAATTTCTATTTGAACTGAGGCGCTGTAGTGCTAAGCTTTATAATGCAGTGACATTGGCTTAAGAGCACGGCGGTGCAAAAAATTGCCATCGTGGCATGTGCGTCTTTGTTCTACATTTATTCAAGATACAGTTGGAAACGCTGCAATGTCGTGCACTAATATATATATATATCCCTCTCCCTTCCTCCATTCAATGCTGCCTTGCCCGATAAGAAACTAGAGGAGGAAGAAGAGAAAGGGAAAGAAGGAGGAGAGAGGAAAGAAAAAGAGAATCTTTGGGGCTTTTTCGTCCATCATTTTTGTTAAGAAAATTATATTACTTGTTGTAAGTAATTGTCTTCTTACTTCTATTATCGATGATTTTGATTTCTATGAATTTTATCTCTATTAAATTTGTCAAAAATATATTATCTCCTTATTTCATAAGCTTTCACTATATAACTTTTGATATATTATAAATTTGATCAGTTTGAAAAATATGATATGATTTTTTTACATTTTCACTAGTTAGAAACATGTATATGAATATTTCTATGAAATGAGCAGGAAAAAGGTTTATTGAAAATGGATTCAAAATGTTGTATTGTGATCTAATATGATAATACTAAAATATAAAATGTGCTAAAATGATTGTTATGACTGATATGTACTGAAGTGTGATACTAATCTAACTGAAAGGATATTCTAATTGATATCAAATATATGAAATAATAACCTCTATGTGATAACCTTAAGATTCACTAATGAGAGTCATAAGGAGCTGAAAATTGATTGAGAGATATAAAGAGTAGAGGCGATTGATCTATATGATTCAAGAGGAGTTGTAAGGAATATATTGATTGAGATAAGGGGCGGCTGATTGGGAGCCATAAGGGCGGAAGCAAGATAAAGATACTCATAATTAAATATTTGATATAGAGATATTGATTACTAGTACTAATACTAATTATTGAATACTGATATCGATTATTGAATATGGATACTTATTACTATATATTGATATTGTACGTATATAGATACTGAGACATTGATTTCTATTATTGATTGTTGTTACGAAGTATAGATATTAATACTACTATTATGATTGATGGACTGACCTATAGGATTGAATGATGAAAACCATAATTTTAAAAACCAGAATGGATTGGACTAACCAATTCAACTGCAAACTGATTAGATGTCTGATATGATCCAACTTAAAAATTGGCTTCGCATCAAATCAAACTAAACCAACAAAAACTTGTGATTCAACCAGTAAACCGTTAAACCAATCCAAGTTAGGAAAAATTAGCCGGTTCTATAAAAATCTAATTTTGTTTTAATTAAATTTTAACATAAGTATTTTAATTTTTTAAATTCTTTTAAAATTATTAAATATGAAGATTAATTACATCGTAATATATGAATATCATCTCAAATAATATATTTTGTTATAAAAAATATGTATTTCACACTACATAAAGAAATAAAGACAATTACCTCAAACTCCCTTATGATGTGAACTAAAAAAATTGCATTAGGTAGAATGTGAATTTGAGCTTGGTTGAGCTACGAATTTGGACTGATTGGAATATATTTATTGATAGCAAATTAATATATCGTAACTTTATTATAATATATATTATAAGAATAATATAAATTTATGTTATTATAAATTTATATATTATATTAAATATTACTCTTATTATAAATATTAAAACAATCCTAAGAGGAAACCTCAGAGCTTGTTAATTGGACCTCTTTGTTATTACAATGTTAGCAAATTCTCATTGGGTTGACACAACATAAAAATTATTTGTAATATTTTGCCTGATTTACATTTGGTTGTAGTTCATTTCATTATGATGATATTATTAAACTATCATTATAATTATACTATAGTAATCTTTTCTCAGATTGGACTTGCTATATCAATGATTTCTCAATGCACATGTCAAAACTATGATCCCATTTTGACTCTTCCAAGGAACTAACTATCACTCTAGTCTAGGAGAAATTATTCTGTGCGGAGACCGGATGCAGAATGTTGTCCGGAGACCAACCAGAATGTACCACGTCAACAGTACCAAGCCGCGGTACCGAACGAAGGGCTGATGTGGCGCATTCTGGTTGATCTCCAGACGACATTCGGCGTCCGCACAGAATAATTAATCCTAGCTCTAGATTACCTTCCTGCTACATTTTTTCAACCAATCCACTCCATATCCTTTAATATTATTCATTATGTAAAAGTTTTTAACATTCTTCCACTTTGAAGGCAAATTTCTACTTAGATCAGGTCTGTAATTAGTACTTGGAATCAACTTTTTGTTTGGGATTGGAAACTTTTGTGTTTGCACCTACCTATCCAAACAAAATTGGTTTGCACATAAAACTAGCAGACAACTATTACATTGCTGCACATCTGTACATAATCACCATCTGCACATAATGGTCTTACAGCAGTAGCTTATTCAACAATAAACCAACAAGTATTGCTTAATATAACAGGGCTTCCACGCACAACACATATAAGCAGTCAAAGAGCAATCAAGATTAAACAATTGAGAAGGTAAATGCCAAAACAGATCTGCAAGTATGGCATAATTATGTTAAGAAGCAGAACACTACCCAGGAAAGGTGATATCTGGCTTTCCTTCCTTTCAGTCAGCCGTCCAGCTCTGCTCTACAATGTCTCGCACTCGCCGGTTGTATTCGCGCTTGCTCTCGCTGAACAAGCGAGCGGCCTCGGAGTTTGCAGGAGAGTTTGGATTTGGGTCACAGAGAAGAGACTGGAAATGTAGAGCAAACATACTTAGTCAACAATGAAATTGTAAATTACAAAAAAAAGTTGTGAAGAAAAAATAATAGTGTCAAAGGCCACTCACCAATGCTCCATCAACTATTGAAGAATTAAAATATTTCTGATTAAAGAGCTAGACATTGTTGGTGCATATGGGAAATCCATCCAGAAAGGTAAAACGAATGGACATGAAGTGACAAGGAAGAAGAGCTAAGGAAAAGGATGACTCTATCTACATCAATATCGATAGAAGGAACATACCTTACATTCTCATGAAGTATAAATTCATCTTAGGGAATTTTTTTTAATCAACTTAGATATATTATCTTAGAAAGGAGGAGGTTTGCATGCCTTATGATAGATGAAAGTAATACACAAATTTTTATAGTAATGTAAAAGAAAAGCTAAATTGTGCTCAGGTTGGGTCGACTAGTTCTAATTGATCAAGTTAGGTAGGTTGGGTTGGCCTAGTAGGTCAATCAAGTTGGTCCAATTGGGTTGGTTTGGTCCATAGAGTGGCGTGATTTTTATTAGATCAACCTAGAATTTGATCATATTTGACATAATTAGGTTGAGTGAAACTTTTTGGGTAATTCCATTCTTTTAAATGAAATAAATGAACTACTTACTATGTGTGCGCAATGGATAGACTGAGGCTTACCATTGATTTCACACTAGAGAGAGAAGGAATAGATTTGAGGAAAGATTGAGTACAATAAGGGTGACAATTGGTTTAGGATTAATGCTTTATTTTGATTTAGGTTAGGTGTTTTGGTGATGTATAAGATTGCTTGTTGAGTTCCCTATTTGATTTGGGGTTGTTTTAATCACTAAAGAACTATTAATCACCTCTTAAACATAAGACAACACTACTTGCATTCGTTCAATCTCACCCCTTAGATTATAACCTCCTCATATAATCTTTGTCTTAACATAATAATAATAATTAAAAAAATGGCTCCTGCTTTTAATATTCCACTATAAGTTATAGAGCTTACTACTCTTAGCTCAGTAATGTTATTGAATCTGATATTATATCCTCTTTATAAATTCCATATAATACCTAACCTTATTTTTTTATGTAGATGTTATAGTTTCCTTATATGGTATAAGGGCATAATCCCAAGGACACTCCTCTTCCTACATTTTTCCCTTCCTTTCCCGTGACTATTCTATCAACAAAACATGGATAAATTTGAAATATCCCTCTCCAACCTTACTCGTGAGTATGAAACCACCAACTCCCTTCTAAAAAAGATGAACACTCCTATAACCTTCTAGTTCAAGTTCTTGATGTTCAACATCATTGTTTAAAATTGCGCAATATAAGACCCGCCTCAGCACAATTCCAATAAAAAACACCTCTCCTCGAGCTTTTTTTATGAGGCTTACGCCTCATCTTGGATAAGGTCCACCGTGAGACACGCCTCACCTCGCTAGTATGAGGCGTACGCCTCAATATATTTATGTTTTTTTTTTAATTTAAAACTTACCTAAATCCTATACAAAAGCACCAAAAAAATCATGTCTTCTTACACCCCCAAGCCGCAGAAACTTCCTCTCAATTGTCTCGACCTCCAGCCCACCGCCTTCACCGTAGCCACCACTGTCGTAGCTGTCACAGGGGATCACTAAAAAGTTGCACGCCATCACCATTTCCTCTTTAAATTTTGGAGTATTATCTTTATGTTGATGACAAACATTTATTAAAGCTGAAGGTGACTGAAAAAAATGAAGAAGAGATAGATGGAGAGGTATTGGACCCTACGTGATGAGGTAGGGAAGAGACCAATTTGTTATGACAATGACTCAAATAAAAATCCCCTTAGTAATGATAGTACAGATGATTTCTGAGTTGTTGACAATTATTTTAGCTTTCGTTAGTAATTAAACATAGTGTAAGCCTCATTGTGGTCATGAATTTCACCCTTCCACATCCAACACCTTGTCTCCCCATTACTGTGTGAACAAGTCCAACACTATACTACTCATTTTCCAAATCTACATTAAGCATAGCCATTTTACTGCCAATTGTCAGCATAGATGTGATATCACTCATACAGGTTCCACTCAAGCTCACTCTGCAAGCCAGCCAGCCAGCCCCTCCTGATTGGTACCTCAATATTCGTAACACCGCCCACCTTGATCAAACTGCACACAACTCTAGCAACCTAAGCTCTACCATGTATCATAACTCATCATAAGAAATGCCCAATCCCTTCCCACATATGCATCAGGCAATCTACTAGTATGCTTCTCTCTCATATTTTCCATGTCCCAAACACTCATACAATCTACTCTCTATTTAACATCTCACTAAAGGAAATTCCAGTTCCATTTCATTTAATGTTGGTGGTTATCAAATTAAGGATATGAAGACTGATCAAATTCATCTTAATGGATCGCGCCATCAAGGTTCCACCCACCTTTGGAAGGTATTAGGCACTAGCTATAACTCCAAATAAACATACTAATAAATTCCTTGCAATTTATTTATACACATGTTTCCTTGTGGAATATAACAAACATAATAAATGAAGGAAAAAAAAAATCAATGGTTTTGTAATACCAAACTTTTAGTGCTCTTATTTCTACTAATTCCACGATAAGTTAGGGAAGACTATATTTAGGTCCTCAACTTTTGTCAATATAATTATTGGGTACTTTCAAAAATTTACTAGGAGATTCTTAAATTTAAAATTTTTATGCACCTTTTAAACCTAATAAAAAGATCATTCTACTGAGAATTGTGTTAGGCCAATTCAGCCTGAATCGGCCCAGCCAGCCCAGGGGCCAGCTCTAGTTTACAGGAGGCGGACTTGCGCCTCAACTTGGTTGAGGCCCGCCTTGCCTCACTGGCATGAGGCTTACGCCTAACGCTATGTTTTATAATATTCACTAATTAGTATATAAAAAATTTATCATTTTATGTTTATGCAATCTTTTGATTTTGAGGTTTACGCCTCGCCTCACGAATGAAAAACGCCTCAATACCCGAATACGCAATTTTAAACATTGGTATTAAATAATAGGAGTTGTTTAGGGTTAGGGCGATGCTTTTGTTTTGGTGGCTGATTTCAAGAGTTCTTGTCTTGGTGTCTTGAGCTCTAAATTCATCTAAGGATTGGGAGAGAACGATCCTGCTCTTGAAATGGGGATCGATTGTATCTTGCTTATTTGCTTTCGTTATTTGATTGCCACCATAAAAAACTACTGTTTTTTCTGTTAGATTTGTGAAGATTTTTCGTTGTTTTCATCAATCTTGTTACAAGTTTAATTGAAATATTCAAGTATTTCCTATCAAATTGGTATCATAGCAGATTTTGGGATCAATTGTGGGCTGATTTCTGAAATATCAGCAATGATTTTTCAGCTGAAAGGAAGAATTTTTAGTTGTTTTTTTATCAAAATCCAAAATTTTCAAACCTACAAAAATTTCGGATGGCGGTCAAGAAGGTAGATGCATTGGAGGAATGCCTTGAAGGAGAGATGAGCCAAATCAAAGCAATGGTGGATGACAAAATTTCATCCGTAGAAGGCAAGGTTTCATCCGTGGAAGACAGTTTCCGATCTTTATGCGATGAGGATGAAGCTATTGGAAAATCAAATTAAGATGGCGTCATTGGAGGCAAAAGGACTGGTGGGAAAAACGACAAACTCTGAGTTTCGTAGGAGGGACGATGAGGTGAAAATCATGGAGGAAAGAGGTGAAAGGTATGGAGGGAGACATGGGTATGAGGGGCATGAACCAAGGGGTCCTGGTTGGGGAAGAAAAGAAGGGGATTATGGAAGAAAGCGTGCTGAATTTGAAGAAAAGAGGGGTTTGCGTATGAACATAAGAGGTGAAGGTCATGAGGCGAAGGTCATGAGGCCTTGTGACTTGGGAGAGGCATTGGATGAGAACTTCATGAAGGGGCTCAAATCAGAGATCAAAGCTGCGGTGAAGGTCATGAGGCCTTGTGACTTGGGAGAGGTCATGGACTTGGCACAATTGGTGGAAAATAAGAGAGAGCAAGGAGCAACAATTCAGGAGGCTCTTATAGGATGAAGACCACTCTTTTAGCATCCAAGGGTCCAACATTAGGAGGATTTTGTGAGACCACCAGGGAGAAGCCAGTACGAGGACGAAGTGGGGGAAATTTCAAGAGGTCAACGGAGAAGGAGATGCAGGAAAAGAGGGCGAAGGGGTTATGTTTCAGGTGTGATGAGAAGTATACTCCATGGCATAGGTGTAAGGACCGAACTCTTTAGGTTCTCACCATATGTGACGACAAGGAAACTGAGGAGGGAGGAAGGGTAAGGTAGAGGGAGAGATGGAGGAGAAGCTGCATTTGTATCTGGCAGAGGTTTTATTGAACTTTGTGGTAGGATTCACTAAGAATCATACCATTTAGGTGAAAAGGGAGATAGAGGACAGAAAGGTGTTGGTACTGATCGACAGTGAGGTTGCCATGAAGGTGCTGATACAGATCGACAGTGAGGTTTCCCACAATTTCATTTCCACTCAGATTGTGGACCAATTGGGAGTGAAATTGATGGATACAAGATAGTATGGGGTGATGATGGGTACAAGGAAGCTGGAGAAAGGCCAGGGGATTTGTAGATGAGAGGGGTTGACCATCTAAGGGATTCAGGTGAGGGATTTTCTTCCACTGGAGTTAGGAAGTACTGATGTCATCTTGGGTATGAAGTGGTTGAAGACCTTGGGGGACACCAAGGTTAACTGGAGAGCACTCACGATGGAGTTGGTGGATGGGAGAAAGGTAGTGATAAAGGGAGATGCAGGGCTATCCAAAACCATGATATCTCTTAAAACCATGGTGAGGAGTATACAAGAAGTGGGGGAGGGCTTTCTGGTGGAGCTGCACAAACTAAAGGGAGTTAGATTGGTGGAGGGAGGAGACATACCCCTCTAAGTATAGCTGTTGATCCAAATGATGTTTTGCCCATGCCAGTGTCGAGTATTTGGGCCATATTGTGTCTAAAGAGAGGGTGGAAGCAAATCAATAAAAAATTGAAGCTATGTTGAGATGGCTAGTGCCTAAGAATCTGAAGGAGCTGAGAGGATTCTTAGGACTATCAACAGGGGCAGATCTAGCTTTTTTTTTTTAGGGTGGGCAAAAAAAATTTTTTTTTTGGGATGGACAAAGATGTTTATGATTGATAAAATTAGGGCAAAAAATATTTTTGAGGGGGGGGGAGGCAAAATACCCAAAATATTTCAAATTTTCCCCTCAAATTATTTAAAAAAAAATTTTTTTGAGGGTGGGCATTTGCCCACCAAGGAGTGCCCACCCTCACTCCTTAGTGGATCCTCCTATGACTATCAGGATACTGTAGGAGGTTCGTTAAGGGGTACAACATTATAGCATGACCACTAACAAAGCAGCTGAAAAGAATGGTTTCTTATGAAGGGTGGCAGCCACAACAGCCTTTGAGAGCTTGAAGTAGGCTATGACTACTGTATCAGTCTTAGTACTACCAGGCTTCACTCAGGTCTTCACGGTGGAGACAGATGCTTCATGATATGAATTGGGAGCAGTGCTCATGCAGAATCGTCGACCTATTGCCTATTTCAGTCAGGTGTTGACAGGTAGAGCAATGCTGAAATCAGTTTAAGAGCGAGAGTTGATGGTTATTGTATTAGCCATCCAGAAATGGCGGCCCTACTCATTAGGTAGGCATTTTATTATCTGAATGGACCAGCGAAGCCTGAAGTACATGTTGGAGCAGCATATGATGACAGAGGAGCATCAAAGGTGGCTATCCAAATTGCTAGGGTATGATTTTGAAATCTAATACAGGCCAGGAGTGAAGAACAAGGCGGCAGATGCCTTGTCCAGATGTATGGGGGAGTCGCATGCGACAACAGTGTCAATCCCGTTGATGTTAGATTGGGAGGCCATCAAGGAGGAGAGTGCCTGGGATGAGGAGTTGGGAAATATTAGGGCTAATTTAATAAAGGATGGGAGTAGCCACCTGGTGTATTCTTTGGAAGGGGAGAGACTTTTGTACCAGGGAAGGTTTGTGATGCCTAGGACATCTCCACATTCCACACTTGCTTAGGAGTTCCATGGGAGTGTTGTTGAGGGGTCACTCAGGGGAGTATAAGACATACAATAGACTAGCTTCATAGCTATACTAGAAGGGGATGGATAAGAATAAGGAGGGGATGGTAGCCAAATGTGGGATCTGTCAGAGGAACAAGTACATGGACATGCCTTCAGGAGGATTACTACAACCATTAGCTTTACCAGATCGGGTATAAGAGGATGTATCTATGGATTTCATAAATGGGCTACCTTGATCAGAAGGGTTCACAGTGATCCTGGTGGTGGTGGACCGATTGAGCAATTATACTCATTTCATTCCCTTACGACGTCCATACACCGCAGTACAGTGGCATCAGCTTTCATCAGAGATGTGGTCAGACTGCATGGAGTATCAGAGGCTATAGTATCCGACAAGGATAAGGTGTCCCTCAATCATTTCTGGAGGGAGTTGTTTAGATTATAGGGGATGGTATTGAAGAGGAGCACTACCTACCACTCACAGATAGATGGCCAAACAGAAGTGGTCAACATGAGCATGGAAACTTGCCTAAGATGCTTTGTGTCGAAGACACCCAAGTTATGGGCCAAGTGGCTAGCATGGGCTGAGTATTAGTACAATACCTCTTATCATTATGCTTCTTAGATGACTCAATTCAAAGTGTTGCATGGAAGGGACCCTCCTCATCTAGTGCATTTTGGGCATAAGAGTACACCAGTTTCGTCAGTAGAGTATCTTGAGGAGCGAGACCGAGTACTGGAAGAACTGAAGAGGCATCTACTTAGGGCCCAACAAATTATGAAGAAATAGGTTGATGGACATCGGAAGGACATTCAATTTGAGATAGGGAAAATGATGTTCTTAAAGCTCCGACCTTATAGGCAGAAAACCATCGCCAAAAGGAGAAACGAGAATCTTGCACCAAGGTATTTTGGGCCAGTTGAAGTATTAGAGAAGATTGGAAAAATAGCATATAAACTGAAATTGCCATCCACAGCAACCATACATCCTATTTTCCATGTCTTACAACTAAGGAGGGCGATTGGGGAGCATTCAGCCAGTTCTGAACTACCCGTGACATTAACAGAGGACTTAGATGTGATGTTGGAATCCTTTGAGTTACAAGGGGTGCGAATGGAAGAGGGGGGTAAAAGAAGTGTTGATCAAGTGGAAGGATCTTCCATATTATGAGGTGACATGGGAGCCTTATGAGAGGGTGAAGCATCAGTTTCCCACATTTCACCTTGAGGACAAGGTGCTTCTTTGGGAGGGCAGTATTGTTAGGCTGGTTCACCCTGAACCGGCCCAGCCGGCCCAGGGGTCGGCTCTCGTTTACAGGAGGCGGACTAATGCCGCCTCCTTTCTTGCTATTACTGCCCAATCAAATGGGCCCCACTAAGAGCCAATAAAAGAAAGAGTGGGGCGGCTAGGCATGGGAGAGAAATTTGAATTAAGAATTGATTTGGGGAATTATTGTATTAAATAGTATGAGTCATTTAGGGTTAGGGTGATGATTTTGTTTTGGTGGCTAATTTCCGAAGTTCTTGTCTTGGTGTCTTGGGCCCTAGATTCATCTAGGGATTGGGAGAGAAAGATCCTCCTCTAGAATTGAGGATCGATTGTATCTTGCTAATTTGCTTTCGTTATTTGATTTCCACCATAAAAAAACTATTATTTTTCTATTTTTTTCCGTTAGATTTGTGAAGATTTCTTGTTGTTTTCTTCAATCTTGTTAGGGTTTACTTGAAATATTCAAGTATTTCCTATCAAATTGTTTCATGCAAAATCGATACACCATTTCTCTCCAGCCACTTCCAAGATTAAAAAAAGAGGTTGTTTAGCTGTTAGTGCCCATGATTAGAAAAATTAGAGAGAGATTGGTGTATGCATCCCTAATACATTAAAAAGAGAAAAGAGAGAGATTAATGTATGTTTCCCTACGATAATACATCACACACACACACACAGATTAGTGTATATCCACATAACATGATAAATTAGAAAGAGAGATATTAGGATATGTTGCTTCCCTCTCTTTTTTCAAATAACAGAAGAAAAGGTAAAATGATTAATGAAAAAAAAATTCACCTAAAATTGCCATTGTTAGTCCTACTCAAGGATGGTAAGAGGTGAGGGTTGACGCTAGATTGATAGTCAATTATAAGACTACCAAAATTAATGAAATGAATTTCAAAATGATCTACCTAATACAATTATTCTATTAAATTAAATGACATTTTAGAAAGTTCAATAAATAATCTTTAGCATGTCCAATCCCTGAGGAACATGGTTATGACTTATAATATATCTTAACATAAAAAGATATGCACTAATGAGGATATGTGATAAATTCATCCTCAATTAATCTATTCTATACCAGCAACTTATAGTGCATTCAAAATCAGATAAATATTTTTCCAGCAACTCTTTTCCTAAGATGTGTTAATTTGAATGCATTTGCTATAACACAGCCAAGAATATAGCAAGCGCCTTGAAATCCGATATTGTTTTATTCAGGAGCATGTAAAGAAAAAAGCATTAGAGCTTGCTCATCAGAAGTCCCAAAATCAAGTTGTGAAAAATATTGACCAAGCAACTTCCAGCATATTTATTTCACAAACTCAAGAACCTTCTTAGAATGTTAATTGGAAAAACAAATGAAGAATTACTACTCTAAAATGGTAGTCAGATATGACGTATGAATGGAGAACTAAGAGTTAAGGGAATGTAATCATGTTTTAGCATAAAAAGAGTCAAATTCAAATTAAAAATATGACCATCAGAAAAAAAAAAAAAAGTGTTATGCATGCACATTTGTTGTGTTGTGTCTAAACAATCTCCATTTATAAATACATAAGTTCAAGGAAGTGAACCACAGAAGTACTGGAGATAGAGGTAAATGACAAATAAAAGATGCGAGTTAGAACAGTGAGACAAGGTATAAAACCACGAATAAAGAGTAAAAGAAGTTAGGAGTTCAAGGTAGTGAGATGTTTGGTCAAGTAACAATTCAATGGCTTAAAACCTCTGAGCTAACGAGAAAGTAAAGGAAAGTAAAAGTTCAAATTAGGATCTCTAGAGCAATTCATTGAAGCTTCAAGTAAACCCCACAAGACATGGAGTGCTTCCTTATGAGAAAAAAACAGATGGATGAGCCTATAAAAGTTTTTAAATACATCTCTTACTCCTATTTCATATTTGAGTTGGCCTACTTCTTCTAATTTCTATAATAAACAAAAAAATAAGCCATAAACATCTCAGCCTTTTTGGAATTGCAAATGAAATATAAAAATCATACCTGAATGGAAGTCAGTATAGCAGCAACATCATAAATTGGACTCCATTGATTCTGTAAAATATCCAAGCATATGCTTCCATCTGCATAAACTGTTACAAAGCCATCTGTTGTCAACTACTGAACATATTTTATAGCATACTCTAACGAACCACTTAAATCCAAAAATATAGTAACTCTAGACATATAAATTCTGGTATAACTATAATTCTGAAGGAGCTCAGCGAGCCAAAATAAGCTCATGATCTTGCATTTCGAGTGCTACTAATTTAGTAGAATGAACATAGCCATTACTAGATAAAAAATAAAAGGCAATTAACTCAAATAAAACAAACTTGTAACTGAAATCTGAATCCGCTACTTACTGTTTGGGTGAAACATTCGTGAGACGAAACGGACAGTGGGAGGCTTGTTTGGATAGTCCTCTATAAACTGTAGTGTTAGCTTAAACGTGCCTAATAAACAAAACAAAGATGGTTATAAAGACAGTATCTAAGTATATAAAGCATTGGTTGATAAGAACATTGATCCCTATTCAATAAGTCATCGTGTAACTTCATCACATCAGTATTCTGCCTCCTTAGTTCACATTGTAATCAACAGTCTCATAAACAAAGTATCATTACCACTACCGAACCAAAGTAGAATAATACTTGTAAAGTAATGGTTCAATTTCCAGTTTATAATCACTAAATTTGGCGAGATCTTGAAGGATAATTCTAATTACAAGCCTGGTTAAGTTTTCAATTTAAGAGTTTAACTTCCATAACTTATTTAGCAACTACAACGACGCAGTGAAAGGAACCTCATGAAACAAACATGGAAAGGGAAAGAATGGGAATATTTCACTCTAAACAACAATCCAGCAGTCATTACACACAAGGAAACAGATTGTTCAACAGGCTTTAACAAACCAAAAAATAACATTTCTTGTCTTCCATAATAGTGAAACAACAATGGGATTACAAGACCAGAAATCCTCAAACATCCCTAACATGATATCATATTTAACCAATTTTCTATTGTTCGGGAGATATGAACCACTGCACAGCACTAAGCATTAAAGAAACTTTGTTTTCAAGCTAGTAATTTTTGTCCAGGTGAACACCTAATTCCTCAAGAAATTGGTATGACATAAAATAAAGCAATGTCATTCAAAGTTGTATAAAATTTTAAATAACTATATGCACATTACAAAGACGCAATTAGAGAAGAAGTTTCCTTAACTCCAAAAAACAGCAAGAGAGCACTATTTTGAAATGGGCTTCTCTCTTATGTTTCAAAATTTTATAGTTTTTTTTTTTTTTAAATGATCCCCTTACTAGATGACTGCTCATCTTCCACCTTAAAAAGGCACACAAGCACATTTCAACTACTCTTGGTATTCTTTATCTAGAAATAATGTCTTCTCGTATTTTTAGATTTAAAAATTAGAAAAATAACAAAATATTTCATTAAAAATTTTTAAAAGAATAGCATCCACTCAAAATATAGTGAAACTAATAAAATCTTTTAATATCTTTTTAAAAAGGGTTATATTAAATTTATAAAGCTCATTACTAGTCTGAGTAAAGTACTACTAAAACATAACAACTATGACTTCTAATATAGAAAACATATCAAACTCTTCATATTTGCATTTAAGACTATAATTTTGACTCATATAGATTTGTTAAGAAACTTGATATTTAGATCTTTTGTAAACAAATAACATAATTTGTTAAGAATAAAAAGAGACAAACATATAAAAAAAACACATAACAAGGAAACAAAATATTTTATGACTTATGTAATATGAGTTATATGTGAATGAGATGTATTTCATGATCACAATAAAAGCCACTTCAACGTTTTTATGCTGAGTGACAAATAGGATTCCTTTCTAGTATGCGCAATAAATGTCCAGTGGTCCAAACAACTAACAGCAGATACTTTGGTGGCCTTACGCAAAACCAGACATTTATGCCAGCTCAAACAAAAACAAATCCTCTCACCTCCATCCCATGGGGTGTCATCAGGTCTGCAAATTCAAGCGAAAAGCAAAGACGACCCAAGATCAGAACTGTGAAATCAATCCTTAATAAAAGAGCCGAAAGAATCAAGAGTAGAATACCCAAAGATTACTGCGTTCCAAAGCATGATGTTGCTGTCATGCGGGGCGCCGCTGATCCCAGCGGGCGGATCTTGCTGCAGTCTCCTGAAGTCCCTCATCAGGCGCTTCCTCGCCGGCGTCGACATCCTCTAAGCCCTTCCTTCCTCGCTCGATCGGGATATTTGGAGCTTGTAGAACCCTCGCCTCCCCTTTCCCCGGGAAAGGAAAAGGAAAGCGGAGTACTCTAAGAGGTGGAGAAGGAGAATAGAGAGTGAGAGAGGGTCTCAAAGTCTCAACTTGCTGGAGAGTAGAGATGTCGACAGTCGTAGCTGGAAAGTATAGGAGAATATTTTCTTTGGGAAATTCACGTGTCGCATAAAGAAATATCTAAGCTGTATTTATTTATTTTGGATATATTTGAATTTATTTTATCAAAATACATTTATTCATTTATTTACTCAAACAAGTATCTAATAAGCATTAAATAAAATTCAAATACAATATTATTGAAACTTATAAAATAGTTAAAGCTTGTTTACATATTTATCTGATTTTATATTCAATCTTTTCAAGGCTTTGATCAATAAAATTTGGAGTTTCAAAAAGTTTTAAATCTGACTTAAAATTGACTAGTCTCAAATTCAGTCAACTCGAATCTGACTCATTTAATGAACATGTCAAAAAGATAAACCCGAACCTAATCCAATATCAACTTGAATGATTTGAACCCAATCCATTTTTGTATCATAAAGGTCACAAACATACATCTTCATTACATTTGCAAATAATATGATCGCAAATACTATACAATGAACTTTATTCTAGTTCATTGGAAAATATATGAAATTTGCATCATGTCATAACTTCAAGAACTTATCCTCATTCCCAATAGCATAAAGAATGGCATATTTGGGCCACTTGAAGGGTTTCTTATTCCTTTCATTATTATACATTGTCACTATTGTTTTGAATCACTAATCAAATATTTCATCCAATAAAAATTCCGGCATCCCTGAAATTTCTTGTCACCAACATCAAGAATTTGCTTCCTCATCCTCTCACTACCGAAAATTACCCCATATGGAGAACCCAAATTCTCCAGCAGTTCACGGCTACAGGCTACCTGAGCTATCTCACCGGAGACAATCCTTCCCCACCGGCCGATCAACCCGCAGCGCACGCCGCCTGGAAACTAGTTGACAGCACGCTGATTTCGGCCCTTTTCTCGACCATCTCCCCCTCCATCCTGCCATATGTCATCACCGCCACCTCCGCCTTCGAAGTTTGGTCGATTCTTGAACGCAGGCTTCAATCGACTTGTCGTTCTCGAGTTCTACAACTCAAGAACGAACTTCACAATCTACAAATGAAGAATTCATCCATGCAACAATACCTCACGCAAGTCAAGACTCTCGTCGACAGCATTGCCGCTTCCGGCTCCAAAGTCGATCCCGAAGACATCATGCTCTACACTCTTAATGGTCTACCTGCTTCTTACAACCCCTTCAAAACCTTCATCCGGAATTCTCAGACTCCATCCGATCTAGATTCGCTATATTCGCTACTCTGCAGCGAAGAAATCTACATCAATCAAGAACATCACAACAATACCTCTACCGATCCGTCCGCTCTCTACGCGACTTCACACAACCAACAACGCGGTCGGACAAACCGTCGCCCGCCCAAGAACTTCAAGAACAACCAGTACCCACCATCTGCACCCAATCCCTCTCCGGCTTCCGTCAACAACTCGAGTTCGCAACGCCTCACTTGCCAAATCTGTGGTAAGAATGGTCACATTGCTCTTAACTGTTGGCACCGCTGCAACTTCAAATACGCTCCTACAACAGCCACCACACCCCGTGCTATGCTTACCAACACCGCTTCCTACCCAACCCAAGACTGGATTCTTGATACCGGTGCATCGGAACACCTCACTCCTGACAACAACAACATCCAGCAACCGACCGCCTACCATGGCTCATCGGCTGTTTCGGTAGCAAATGGTTCCTCTGCTTCCATTCAGAACACCGGGCAGGGCCTTCTTCCGCTTCCCGATACTCCTCGTAAGCTACATTTACGTAATATCTTGCACGTTCCCTCTCTGACTCACAATCTGATTTCGGTTTCTAAACTAACCCGTGACAATTCCATTTCCATAACTTTTGACTCTAACGGCTTTGAAATTAAGGATTCCCAGGATCTTCGACCGCTTCTACGTGGCCGACTTCATAACGGTCTCTACTACATTCACACCGATGCCGACGCACCACCACAAGCTATGCATACCACCGTGGCTCCCTCCTATCTGTGGCATGCGCGTCTTGGACATCCACACCGGCAACTTCTCAATCGCATGGCTCAAGCTCTGCCAGCACCGACGCCTACTACCTCACATTTTCTTTGTACTTCTTGTAACGTGGCCAAGAGCCACAAACTTTCTTTTAGCCCACATACTTCGGCCACATCCTCACCGTTCGAAATCATACATTCGGACGTATGGGGACCGTCGCCGACACCTTCTACGATGGGTTTTCGCTACTATGTTCTTTTTACTGACGACTATACTAGATTCACTTGGATTTATTTTTTGCGTACTAAAAGTGAAACATTTTCTAAATTTCAAATCTTATGCAATATGATTCAAACGCAATTTTCTACTAACCTCAAAGCTTTGCAATCCGACGGTGGAGGCGAGTATACCGGGACCGAATTCACTAATTTTCTTCAAAACCGTGGCATACGACATCGCATCAGCTGTCCCCACACTCCAGAACAAAACGGCCTCGCTGAAAGGAAGCATCGCCACATTCTCGATGTCACCAGGGCTCTTCTACACGACTCAAATGTTCCTCCACAATTCTGGCCAGAAACCGTTGCCACTGCAACTTACCTTATCAACCGGCTGCCCTCCACAACGTCTGCCTCCCTTTCTCCATTTC